AATTTGACACAACATTGTAAAATGATTATAAATCAAAATGATAAAAAATAAAAAAAATAAAAAAATTTTAAAAAAAGCAGAGCAAGGTAATCTACCTCATTTTATCTATTATGTACCTGAAAAGTCCACATCAAAAAGAGTTTTGGATCACAAGAAGAAAACAGGTACTCTATTCTCACAAAAACTGTTCAGTCTGGGGAAACTGTCAAGTGTTTCTTGCTTTTTCTTTCAAATATTGTATCTCCTTCCCAGGAAACTAAGCAAATGTCACCAAAGACTTGAGTCACAGAAGCCGACTGGTTCAAAATTAATGCTGGAACCTCACAATAAAACTTACTAGGCAGGGACCATTTCAAATTCCTTTAAACCAGCAAGGTTAACCAAGAATCAAGGAAATGAATTGATCTACCATACGCTATTTTACTACTTTGAAGAAAGCTCAAGCATTCTTACACGCTGAATCCCCAGTAATCCTGTCTAGCAACTATCCATCAATTTCATGAAAAGTCACCCATCTATAAATTTAATATACAAATACTCACATTTCTTTTTTCCTCCTAAAATCCCAGGAAAAAAGGCAGAATAAGAAATTACAAAACCACAAGAATAAAAATTGGAGGAAACAATGCTGAGCAAAATTTCAACAAATGTATTGAATATGGAGAGTGGTTTGTCCCCACCTGAGCAGAACTCCAGGGGACCATCACTGACGAGTGATGACCAGCCCCACAGAACTCAGGCAGGCTCAGGACTGGAGGCAACAGTGAAGTATGAAGCTAAATACAGGTAGGTAATTTCATGTTAGCCAAAAATACAGTAGAATAGTCAGATTGGAAAATCACGTTACAACAATCTCCCAGAAAGAGAAAGAAATTAGTAAGAAAGAAAGAAGGCCAGATGGTCAATCCAGCAGCTTTGTTTTATCTCATGGAGTTCCAGAAAATGTATGTGTGACCAAGGGGGTCAAACACTTAGTAGTTGCCAGATTGCTAGTCTACCAAAGCATAGTATCGTGCCCTTTTAGAACAGCAGAGACAAAGAGATTCAAAAGACAAAACAAACAAACAAAAAATCAGAAATTAAATAACTTTAATTAGAAGACAAAAGAACAATGCCTTCAAAATTCTGAATTTGGTTTTCTACCTAGGATTTTATATCCCAAGCCAAACTACTTTTCAGACATGTGAAGTCTCAAAATAACTGACCTCGCACACACCCATTCCCAGAAGTTACTAAAGGAAGTGTTCCTTTCTTTAACAGGACAGTAATCTAATAACAAAGACAGGGGTCTAGGAAATGTGGAATCCATCCCAAGGAAGGAAAACAAATCCCAGAATGATAAAGTCTCAGGAAACAGCTGTATACTCATATGAGAGAGAAATTAGTCTAGGCTAAAACCAGAATCAGGTATTTTGTTGTGCTTTGACCATGTGGAAAACAGACTAAAGCAGCATCTTCCAAATGTATTTGGGACTATTTTGGAAGAATTAGTGATGTGTCTGTAAAACCAAGACAAGATGTCCTGTGAGAATGGAAACGTAAGCACAGTAAACTATCCAGTTCAGGAATGAATAGAAATATGGTCACTACAAATCAGCATCATTGTTTGCATTAACAACAACAACAAAAAAAAAAATTGGGAGGAAAACAGAAAAGAAAAAAGGCAGAAATCTTCACCTATTGAATAGAAAGTCATCAGATGTCGAAAAATAATAAACCAAGAAGTAGCTGAATAAGCATATTACTTCGAAACCTGAAACCAAGGTGCTAGGGAAAAACTAAAGGCTGAAATGGAATGCCTCCTGAGAAATTGGGAAGGATGGAGCAGGGAGCTAACTTCCTTATAAGCCTTAAAGTACTGTTAAACTAGGTATATACATCTCTTTCATAAAAATTCATTTACTATTTTTAAATACTCATATCTAAAACTGAAAATTAGAGAAAAAAAAAAAAAGCCCTCTACCTGCAATCTCTTCTTCATGGTTCTAACCTACTTGGAATATAAAGAGGTGACAGCACGCAATTCCAAGTTCAAGATTTCCAAGTCTGTTTTCCGCTGCGCTGCGTCTGAGGGATGGGGCTCACACTCCCAGCAGCAGGAGAGACTCCACAGGCTGGCCAGCGATTTTCGACGAAGTGGGCACATCAGACCTTCAGGTGTTGAAGATGTGGGAGAGGAAAGCTAGTTTAGAAAAAAAACCCTCTCTTGATTTTGGTCCTTATCTGCATGCTTCTCCACCACTCTTATCACTGTTTTCTGCACTCATGTAAATAAATAAATCTATGAATTCTAGACTGCAGCTATTGCTTGTGCAATGTAATTTCCATATAAAGTTTAATAACGAAATACTAATGCATTGTCAAAATGTTTACAACTTCTCATAAAGTACAAAATTCACCTCATAGGGATAACAACCAAGAAGCAATACTCTTAAAAATGTCGTTGGAATGCCAATGATATACTGTTACATTTTTTTCATTTATTTTCATGTTTCCAAATATACAAAGTAAGTTGTTTCCACTCTTTCCCTACCCAGCTTGGTCATTTTGAACTCTGTACCTTCAACCCATAAATAATGTTTCTTCTATGAGAAAAGAAACACTTTTCATGTGAAAAGATCTTTATTTCAAAATAAAGAGCACAAGGTCTTCCACAGCAGATGAAATTAGTGTTACTGCCCTCAGAGGTCAAGGTTAGCAACCTTCTGGCGTATACCAATTTATCACGAACAACAGATGCTCTGAATGGCCTTTAAGTGCAGCTGTAAGGTCTCACGGTATAATTCCCTTTGTTGATCCCAGTGACAAAATGATTAGGTTCCATTTAAAATTGAAAATAATAGCAGCTATTCAGGAGAACTAGCTCTCAAAATTGTATCCGAAACTCATCTGTCAAAGATCTTAAGTGAAACACCTCGTATATCTGTATCATCATAATCAATATTTCCGACAACCACAGCATAAGAAATTCAATCTTGGCTAATAGTTTTTCTCATCATGAAATCAAGTGAAATACTGTATTTTTGCTCTCTTCATAAATAGAAAATAACCAAACATTACAAACATTTTATTCATGTTTACTGATTATATTTACAGAGGATATTCAATAATCAGAACTTGCCATTTGCAATACATTAAATTATAATATAACCCCCTCTACAAAAGCTATCTGTTGACCCATGATAAAAACTAACTCTAGAGTTTAAATACATTAGAAATTACAAAAAAAAAAGGGAACAGAAAGTGGTCTTCAAATGCTAAAAATCTAGAAGAATTCTCCAACATCTGCTCTCTTATCTCGACATTTGCTTCGAGCTTTTGTTCGAGCTTTGAAGGCTGCAGAATTATATAAATGCTGAAATGAAGAAAAGAAAAATACATGTGAGCCATTAAGGCTTAAGATATTCTTATAAAGTTAAAAAAAAGGTAAATAAAAATACACAAAGGAAGGAAATTAACTAATTTGACCCTATAAATATTTTAAATGTTTATAAGACACACACAAAGAATAAGGGGGAAAATTAACACATAATAGTTCATGGCTATTCTGTATTAAAAAAATAATCAGGTACATAAAAAACAAGAAAATTCCAGCAAAAAAGTTTTTAAAAGTGCATCATTTAATCCAATCAAGGAAAAGACAAATCATGAATTAACATGAACAAAGTACTCAACTTTGTTGTTAATTAAAATAACAAGGGAAAAAATGACAAGATTTCATTCAAAATTTTAAAATTATAAAATGCAATGCTGTCAAATGACAATAACTTTGAAAGGTAATATGGCAATACATCATCAAAAAATCCTAATTCAGCTCTGTAGTCCCATGCAAGAATTTCTTCCAAAAGAAAATTCACAAGTGAAATGTATGTAAAAATATTGTTTATTAAAACCAGTTTTAAAATACCCAACAATCAATTATATGGCCATAAAATAATTAAATATAAAGATCCTATAAAGATATAATTAAGCAATTTACACCCACTAGGATGGCTATAATTTAAAACAAAAATAAAAACAAAGTGTTGTTAAGGATGTCAAAATCTGAACTCTCATACTGCTGGTAGGAATGTAAAATGGTGTGGTCACTGTAGAAAACAGTTTAGAGGTCCCTTAAAAACTTAAACACAGAATTACCACATGAGACCGAGCAACTCCATTCCTAGGTATGTACCTAAAAAAATCAAAAACAGGTGTTCTAACAAAAAGTTGTACACGTGTTAATAGCAGCACTATTTATAAGGGCCAAAAAGTGGAAACAAGCCAAAAATCCGCCAACTTATGAACAGATAAATATGGTATATGCATACATTGGAGTATTACTCAGCCACTAAAAGGACTGAAGTGCTGACACACGTTACAACATGGACGAACCTTGGCAACATTATGCTAAGTGGAAAAAGTCAGTCACAAAAGGTCACGTTACATGATTCTATGTATGTGAACTATCCAGAGGAGGAAAAATCCACACAGAATGCACATTAGTGACTGCCAGCAGCTGGGGGAAGGGACGGGAGGGGAGAGGAATGGCGAGTTAATACTTAATGGACATAAGTTTCCTTTTAAGCTGATAAAAATGTTTGGAAACTAGATAGTGGTGATGGTTGTGCAACACTGTAAGTGTACTAAATGCCACTGAATTGTACATTTTTAAAAAAGCTTATTTTATGCTATGTGAATTCTACCTCAGTAAAAAAATAAAAATTAAGAATTTTTGAAATGTTCAATGAAAATAATCACTATTTAATGTTAGAAATTCTCTGAGTTCATTTGCTTCCTCATATTTGTAAAATGAATCTGGTACTTACTAAGAGGGCTCACAGTTACCTGGTATGAAAGAAGCACTGTGTAAATATTTATTCTTAAATATATAAACTTCATAGAATAAAAGGAAACAAAAAATGAAAATAACTTCTATGTTAATAGGATTATACATAAAAATTTTTCATCATAACCCTCCATACTCTAAATGCAGTCAAGTTTCTATACTTTCAGTACAGCTATTCTGGGTCTGCAACATCACAAAGAAACAAAACTCCACAGACAACAGCTTGGCAGAAATCAAACTTTTGGCTCCACTTTTCTCCGGTGCATTTAGTTCTACTGAAAACAAAAACAAAACCTACCCTTTCAAAACGAGAAATCTTCATCGTTTTAAGCGTTGCAGCATCAACCATCACCGGGGGTCCAAGTTCGAAAACATTGCGAAGGAATTCATTTGACTTAAATAAAAGAAAAAGGTAATGAGGCTAAGTATTAAATATCAGCTCTTTTTTCATTAAAGTGAAATGTGATTAACAGGAGTTACATGGAGCTTATAAATATGAACTGAAGTCATTTATTTTCTGTTTCTCATAAGACCAAATTGTTTTTCAATGCCCTGAATTCAAGAAAGCTATGTCAAACTATTTGCTTTCATACAAAGATTATCAGTGGGGTTCCAACAACCATATAGATGCTCCACAGACTTACACAATACAAAAACAAAAAGAATAGTTTCATATTTACTCAATTTAACTTTCAAAATTAAATTTACTATTTTGTATATCATGCTGAAAATATATAAAGTAAAACTTTATAGTAAAACTAACTTCAAAAACTAATTAAATGAAGTACATTCAAAACTGCTCCCTAATTTAAGAGCAAACATACAGAAAGGATGTCACCTACTCACCTGCAAGTGGTACTGCATCCCTGATCCAAGAACCTCCTTAAAGGTGTCATAAGTATGTTTTTTGACCCAGCAATCAATATACATGCGTTCAGGACCAAATTTAACAGTTTCTGTTGGAAAATCCCGTTCCTGGCCAACACAACAACAAAAACTCTGAGGAACTAAAATGATCTAAAATAACACATGCTGAAATGAACAATATGGTGTAAACCAAAACCTCCATCCCTGAGATATGAAGAGACTAGAAAGTGGCAGTACTATCCTACATGTAAGGGTGCAGAATTTCTCTAGTTGTGGTAGACTTGAAGGCACAACTAAGTATGGATAAATATTAATGACAAAACTACATTGTGGTAAATGTTTTTAAACGTCAAGAGCACTCAACAAACCGAGGCAGGGGGTGAAGTCAGATATCTGCACTGGTCTAGGATTGGCAGAGGTGGGGGAGAAGGCTGCAGGACAAGTCAGAAAGACAAGATGCCCCCACAAGCCAGTGGTGGAATTGGGGGAAGCAGAAATGTACAAAAGGAAGTGGGGTTAACAGGCCAGCCACAAAGGAGGATGAGTAACTAGAGGGCTCCCAGGGCCTAAGAGGAGTCTTATTAGGAAAACGAGAGGTAACATTTGAGTTAAAGATTTCAGAGATGAAACAAGTTTGCCAGAAGATAATTTCTAAAGTATAACCATGGAAGCGGGCCCAAGCGAAGCGGAAATAAAGGTCACTGGAACAAATACAGGATAGGGTTTTCCAGACAGAGAAGTCATTCAGAATGGTGACAACTTGAGACCAAAAAAAAAAAAAAGGCTTCTCTTTTCTTTCTTTGACAAATCATGAATATAGAAGAGTAACCAAGGGAATGGGTGATCTCCACAGGGACCATAGAAAAAAGGTGATAGAATTTAAAGGGGCAAGACCACTCCAATGGCCTTCCCCACATCTGCCTAGCCCCCTTCTCTCTCAGCACACAGTCTGACGTAGTAGGAAAGACGGTGAACTCCAGACATAACTCCAGGGATGGCCCACTCCCTGGCTTGTGACTCTTGGCAAGTAATTGAACCTCTGTGGCCCTGTTCCCTTGCCTCTAAGACAGGGATACCTACACCTATAACCACAGAGATTTACTAGAGGTGTAAGATGACATGTCTGTGAAGCATGTACAGTGCCCGGTCTGTTACAACAGCTCAGAAAGAGAACAGCAAGATTCTATGACTTTAGCCTTCCATATTTCAGAAAACACTGAAGACATGTCTCAGGGCAGAGAAGGAACAGAAATCCTGAGATGAAGAGAGGAGGGGGGTGAGGCCTGGAGGGAGATTACTAGAGGACAGGATGGTGAGGCAGAGGGCTTTCATTTTTTGCGGTGCTTGGCGGAGTGGTTGGGGTGAGGAGACCAGCAGCCCATTAAAGCCTGTGTACACTGGGAGTCACTCGCATCTTTCTCAGCAGAATCAGTGCTGTGGGCTGTGGCTGGCCCGGGCTGAGGGGCTTGTCAACAGCATCTGCTGGGTCCCACTGACTCTTAAAGTCTATTACGCAGAGAGGATGCATTAAGACAGAAAATCTGAAATCTGGTCTAATCCAGGAAATCTAGGACATGTCAACATTTTACCTTTTGGAGGCTATCGTGTGCAAATGTAGGAGTAGTTTATACTTAAGAAAATGGCTTCCTTAATTTGGGGATACTGCCATACTATTTATAAGACCAATAAGATCAGTGCTTAGTATGCATGTCTGTCTGCTCAAGTTAGGGTTTTTTGTTTGTTTTTTAGATGGTAACATCCAAAGAAAATATAAAATATTAATGTAAGACAATAAGAGTCAACACTGACCAAAAATTTAGATCCAAGAGGACCTCTATATTAATTTATATCCTAGCTTTTATTATTTTTTTAATGTAAATTAAAATGAAGAAAGTAGTTCTTAAGCAGGCTACATATGAGAATCACTGAAACACTTCAAAACTGGATCTGAGTGGGGCCTTAGCATCTCTATTTTTTTTTAATACCCATTCTAAAATTTCATACACACATCAGATTAAATGACTCTGTGGCAATATTCTTGAAAGAACTCCCCTATAAGAGAGCATTAACCTGAGAAATTTATCCCTTACATCCAAGAAATATTTTTACCTAGCCACAAACACACACACACAAAAATTGTTAAAGATTTTAGTATGCTCCACAGTAATACTGCCATTATCCTACAGTTCATTTTAACCATGCATTCTAACCCTTGAAGATTTCTAAATCAATTTATTTGCCAAGTGGACCAAAGCAGGTTAGGGAACTATAGAAGGGATTCAAGCATCAGATAATGATTTTTCAGTGATCCTGTTAAAACGGCAGGTTTTGTCATTTCAGTTTTCAGCACCCAGTCTTCCCAGGGAGATCATAAGGTCTTTGCTTAAAAGTACTGAGGGGTAGGCAATAATTGACTGTTTACAAAAAAACACTACACTGAGTACGTATGTGCTATTAAGCAGCACTGCCTTGACGATGGCAAGTACACCAAGATGAAATATATTTCTTTCACTATAAATCTTTTTTAAAGTTTTCAACCTAAAGAAAGAGTAACTTTGTAACATCAGAATTGCATTTTCCTTTGTTAAAAAAGAAGTCTTCATTTTTGTTGTTAAAAGCCTGCTCAGTCTTAAAATGAGGAAATGATTTTGGTCAAAAGTGAAGTTCAATCAGCAGAATTGCCCCTTTGTCAAGTCTGGCCTGAAACAATCTAGTTTCAAAATGAATAGCTAGTCCAGCATTAAGAGGCCTACCTCCACCGCCCTCAGGATGTCTCTGAACACCGACCGCTGCTTCCTCTTGTCCACTTTGGCCCGGTGCTTATTTCCATCTGTAGCCAAAGCCCTAAGCATCTGAGTCAAAGACTCCATGTCTTCATAAAAAAAGTCCTGGTCAGGAAAAAACAATTTACTTTCACTTGTTGTTTTTTCGCCCCAATCTCTTCTAGAGCTAACGAAGAACAATCCACTTTGGAAAATATTCAGCAGAGCTGCACAGAGCAATACAAATCTTCGAGCTATTTACAGATCTTGGCACAGACGCACATATAAATACATATTATCATGCAAAAATTTAATCCGGAAGTGCTGCCTACAAGATGATACACCCCAAATGATGAACATTCCCCTTCCAAGTATATCCAGATGCATCAACAAATACTTACAGTGCTCCCACCATATTCAAGACAGTACTGGGATTTCAAAGTTCAGTGACAGTCAGATGGACATAAACCATTACAGCTTCTATCTGTCCTCCAGTTCCCCAGTCCCCAAAGAACATATTCCCCAAATGCTAAAAATTCTTATTCCAGAAAGGGCAAGCTTTCAGTCATGCTTTCTAAAGCACCTAATTTCTAATTGACTGGCCATATTTAGAATAAGCAACCAGATATATGTGTCAGGTACACAACTCAAGTGATTAAATTATTCAAGAAAGGAAGGTATTCAATCACTTTTGGAGGGAAGCCAGGAAACGTATTACTATTTGCCATGACCTTGACTGTGAGCTTCCTTGACACAGTTTAAGTGGCTACACTTTGAAGAAGTCTCTTTATTTGGGGTGTTTTTACTCCCTAATCACATTTCAGAACCACATTAAAAACTAGAAGATGATTCAAAGTTATTTAGCTGACCAAAACTAGAGCAGACACTTTACAGAAGCAAGATGGTGAGCTATCTCCAGCTCTGATTATTAATGCCTGTTAAACAATTTTTGCATTGGTGATAATAATCATTTAACTTGTTCTGTTAAAACAAGCAGCTCTTATTGTGGGCATTCTTCTACTGTATATGTAATTGTTCAGTCTCAAAAAGTATAAATGTAATTTCTTTTAATGCCTAAAAATGAAAAGGCTTATTACAGTCATGGAAAATAAGCTTGAAATTAACACAAATATCCTTTTGGGTACATAAGTACATATTTGCTTACTGTCGATATTTTAGAGATTGTACATTTTTAACTTTCTAATAAATGTTCTCTTCAAATGCTGTAATTCAACTTCCTATGTCTGAGTTAGCTGGAGATAATACCAGTTAATAAGATTTTCATCTAGAAAAGCAATTACCAAAGCTGATGAGGTATTAAAACAGTCCAGTGTTATGCTGATCTCTACATTTAAATTCCAATAAATGTGATTCCATCATAATAAAATGGGAAATCGTTTTACTTGTAGAAACAAGTACATTTCAGGGACTGGCAGCTTCCTACTCGTTTCACTGACTACTTACTCTTCTCTATTATTCTCAAAAAAAAAAGTTCTGGAAGTTTTAAAAACATAGATAGAAGAATATAACTAAAATTAACAAGATGATGTGCATTATCTTAATTTGTTCTAAGCACTGAGAACCACTGCCAGTAATTCTCAACAATCTTACCTCCCAGAGGACCTCTGACTATATCTGGAGACATTTTTGGTTGTCACTATCTGCCAGGAGGTACTAATGGCATCTACTAGGTGGAAGCCAGGGACTCTGCTAAACATCTTAGTTTATGTGCTGCCAAAGAGAGCACAACGCTGCTAAACATCTTTAAATGTACAAGACAGCACCCCACCTCCAACAAAAATTACCCAGCCCAATGTAGTAAGAGTGCTGAAGTTGAGACACCCCACAGTAAATGATCTTAGCAATCAATAAAACTCGATCTAGTTTAGAGAATCTGAATCATTGAGTTCAGTATAGTACTTATGAAAATAAATATTAAATACTATAGGGAAATGTCTCCATTAAGTGCTTGTGCATTAAAAAGAAAACAGAAAATATGACAAAAATAGTTCAATAGAATCCAAAAGCCAATTTACTGGACTTTCGGATAACTGTGCAGTAAAACTGTACACTCAGGGACAAATGAAAAATGGACTCTTAGAGGTACAAATAAATATCTTAACTCTTCTCAACAATGAAAAAAAAAACTACGTAGTCATTACCACACGAAAGGGTCAAAAGTCCTGGATCAGAATTCTCAAATCTACTAGTTACTACGCCAAGTTTTAAAAATTATGAAACTATTTTGTCACTTATAAAATGAAAGTATCCACTCTCCCACATGACAGTTTTAAGCATTAAATAAGATGGTAAATATAAATTCACCCAATAAATTATGAAGCGTAAACTATCATATCAATATTCTAGACTTAGAATTTATACGGAATTGGACTTTAAAAAAAAATCAGTGTAGCAATTACACCTACATGAGGAAGTTTACTGTCATACAAAACACAGCTTTTGCAATCAGAATATCTAGATTTGAATCATAAACATCTATTATTTAGATATATATAACCTTGGACATAATTACATTAGCAATTTGTGCCTCAGGTTCCTCTTAACATAAAAAGGGATAGTTAATACCACCCAGGTCTCATAGGTTTATTGCAAGGACTAAGTAAAATATATTTATGTATTTTTAAAATATATAAAACATAGTACATAAACATCCATTATGCTAAAGATCTCTTATGATAGCTTGTTTCAGCCTAACAATATAAATGTGACAGCTAAGATAATTATTTCATACAAAATAACAGCTATAAGAAGTTAAATGGTTTCAAAAGTTGAATGGAATGAGGATGAAATGAGACCACAGAAAACTTTTGGAAGAGTTTAAACACAGGGTAAGATCCTTAAGGTCACAAAAATCATCCCCCCAATATACAAGTCATTGGAGCACTGACTGTAAACAAAATGAAATAAGCTAGGTCTTGGATGGCTATCTTGGGTGTCAAGAAATAATCATAGGAAAGCCTAACATTGAAACAGATTTTGAACCCTCCCCCAGGTCACTGCAAAGTGCTGACTATTATTTCTAGAATGGTTTTATCTGACTCTGCTCAAGTACAAAGACTTCTATTCTTTTCATTCCCTGCTAACTGAGGCAGATTGTCTTTGTCAAGGTATGGAACACTTTTAATGGGTCAGTTATCCTACAAACAAAGGCAAGAAATAAATGAGAGGCACGTGGAGCTGCCCTCTCTAGAAATATAAAATCTAAGTGATTTATGATTTAGGACCGAGGACCGTGCTGTTAGTCTTTGGATTTTCTTTTGCTTTTTCCTGCTGTGTCTCTGTCCTGTAGCATTGTCTCTGTCGGGTTAGGTGGGAGGTGTGAGAGGGAAAACTGAGGAAGGTCTGATTCTACTATATCTTGGCATATTTTCCTGAATCAGCGTATCACGTGGCCTGTAGACCTATAATTCCATCTACTAGTCTGTCTTAGCTCGTTACCCTAGAGAGCTCCTAAAAGGCCACTACTAGCCTACTAGCAAGGCGGAGGAAATACACAATTCAGCCAACAGTACGGAATAGCTCCCACTTAGACTGTGTGCGTGTGCTCCCAACAACCCTATGAGCTAGTGACTATTATTTTCTCCATTTTAAAGATAAGGATACTACTATATATAAAAACAGATTAAAAAAAAGTTTCTGCTGTATAGCACAGGGAACTATGTTCAATATCTTGTAGTAACCTTTAATGAAAAAGAGTATGAAGATGAATATCTGTATGTATATGCATGACAGGGACCACTGTGCTATACACCAGAAATGGACACATTGTAACTGACTGTACTTCAATATAGAAATAAATAAAAATAAAAATAAATTTAAAAAATAAATAAAGATAAGGATACTGAACTGTAGTGAAGTTGCCTGACATCAAGCAACTCCTAAGTGGAAGAGAAAATCTAAACGTAGGCAGGTGGCTACTGAGTACACTCCCCTGCTTGGTCACATGGCAGACAGTAAAAGGGGCGCTCACCAGCGAATGATGACTAATCTTCTTATCAGCTTTAACAAATAGCTATTATTAATAACCAGCTCGTTCTTTAGCACCCAACCTAGCAGCCAGCTCTTCGGAAGTTTTTCCCTAAGTCTCCCAGGCTTATGTCATTACACTGCTAGATTTCCAGGTTAATAATATCACAAAATATTATGTTAGCAAGAGGCTCTGAATAATTCAATGTTTCACATGGGCAAGAAAGTAATTTACATCAACCTATATATTCATCAACACCTGGTTTAATTAAATTTTTCAACACCCTATAACCATCCCCAACCACCACCATATATTCACTCCTTTTAAACAGCTTACTGACTTACTGACTTAACAAAAATGGCAAACAAAACACTAGGTTCTATTTTATAACCCAGTTCACTTTGTCTGACAAGGACTTAGGTCAAATTAAACATGTTTGGATATGTTCTCCTGAATATCACATATGACTAAGCCAGAGAACATAAAAATGTAGGTAGTAACATATTTACATTTATGCAAATTTAAATAAATTCAGCATGTATAATTTCAACTGCATTTCAAAGGAAAAAGAAAAAAAAAATACTATTTCAGTAGAGAAATACAAGATCAAAAACTGGGACATCTAGCTTCTGTGCCTTGAGGTTAAGGAGCCATTAACTAGCTCAGTAAAATTAAATTGACTGCTAACTTGAGTCCAATTTCTCACACAAGGAGATTCATTATCTACTGACAGCATTAATAACTTACTTTTAATTTGTACCTGCTATCTTTCAAGGTGGGGGAGGGGAGGCAGCACTAGGGAAAGATACTTTCCAGAGAAAAATTTTAAGACCCTAAACGTTTCTTTAAACACAGGCTTAGAATGGAATGTGAAGAACCAGGCAACCCAGAACACGTATTCACCTTACTTAGAATTAGCCACTGTTAAATAACTTCTTGAATTGCTAAAAAAGTTTTCTTCTGGAAATACAGTCTTTCTCTTTAAATTAAACAGCAGCTAGTAAGTAACCCAAGGTTCACAACAGAGGTCACAACCCAGGGTGACCAATTGTCCCTTACAGCCTAAGATGAAGGGTTTCCTAGAACACAGGGCCTTTCAGTGCTAAACCTGGCATACTATCCGGATAGTGGACCACCCATCACAAACTCAAATACCTCTGAAAGCCGAACTGTGGTAAAAAACAATCCTGAGTGGACAATGGTGGAGAACTGCAAAGCACACATCCCAGGCTAAAGGGCCATGTTTACTTCCATCTTTAGCTTAGAAAAGTTAAACAATAGTAACTAAACTCCTCTGATTCCAAACCTATGTTGACTTACTATTTCAACCATCTGTCTGACATTTATTATAAAGCATCCAAGACAGAATTTTCTTATTGTGTCCTGTCTGACAAATCCAAGCAGATCCACAAAGATTATACTAGAAAATTCTCTCTTGACACAACATTGTAAACTAACTATACTTCAATTAAAAAAATAAATAAAAACTCTCTCCATGAGTAATGAGTGTACCTAAACTTCAGGTCTACAGACAGCAACAATTAAGTGTAATGAACTACACTCAAATATTGCTCTACCAACCTCTACTGGTTTATGCTCTTAAAAGTATTATATTAACACTGCCAAAAAGCAGGACCACTCATCATTAGGTTGTCAAGTAGGCCATGCTCTAAAGTCATCACCCAATTTATAGCTGTGAAGTAATGACAGAGTGATGATCCTTGTGGCACAAGCTTTTTCCACTACTCATCAGGTACTTACACTCTCTATTCCTCTGGCCAGTTCAAACAGAAGCGCCAAAGATTCACCAGCAGCTATTCTCATGTTTACATCATCAGAAGAGAGGAGGCTTGGAAGTTTATGGAAATGCCTAGAAAAAAATCAGTCATTACTATATGAACACAACCAATTATGTCATTAAATGTTGTTTTTATAAAATATGAAACTAAAATATATACATCTCAAGCTTTTTCTTCACTTCATTGATTGGGCATATGGTCAGTAATAATGTCCAAGCGAGGAGAGAGCTGATATGAAGCACTGTGTTAGGGGTGCTGCAAATTACATTAGCGTCTTTCTCTTTGAGATACGACTTGGTGAAGATGTTTTCCAAACACTGCAGAGTTGAATACAGCTCCTAGTGCACACGAATATGAAAAAAGATTACCATCTTAAATGAGAAATGTGCTAACAACTGGAGTCAAAAGCTGTCTACTTACAGTAATATCATCTGTGGCAATAAAACAGCAAACACCAAAGCAAGTTGCACACTAAAAAAGGCAAAAAGAAAACAGACATTAATGTTTGTCATTTTCTTATTAATCTACATCTTCCTGCCTTTATAATTCAATGTGAAAAAGTTCTCAACTACGTGACTGTATTAGGTCTCAAGTATAGTATAAAAAGAGAGAAAGAATGTAGGATCAAGAGTTAAGGGAAGCAGGTTTTAGTCCAAGATCTGCTACTAAACTTCAGGAAAGTTACCCCATTTCCCTCAGATCTTCCTTCATTAATCTAAAGAAGCATTTCAAACTTCACCTCCAAGTCAAAGACAAAGATGGTGTTTGGACATCTGAGATAAAGAAACCTACTCTATTAAAAACCTTTACAACACAAAGCTTAAAAAATTCAAATAACTATCCTCAAACTTCCCACTGAAAGGAGCTCTGTAACTCAGATTTTTACTTGTTTTGGAATATGTTGAAAAGAGGTTGGGAATCTGATAATTGCTTTCTTAGGGGGTAAAAAAAAAAAGGGCAAAACACTCCACCATCACCAAGGTAAAGCTTACCTAACAAGACTCAGAATATGTCCATACAATCTGCTTACAACATAGATTGGAGCCATCAATGCTCAAAACACTGCTCTAACAAACTCATCACATAAGGACAGAATTGGAAATTTGTAAGGCTTTATTATTCTTCATTTCCCTTTTCACTAAAGGTCATGACTAATATTTTCTCATGTTGTTGCCAGTACCACTAAAGCCTAAGGCTTTAAAGTCACCATCCACATGCCCACGTTGAAGCTAGTTCCGTTCCAGTACTATGAGGACACTTGTAATACTAATCTGCTTGATGTCACTAATTTATTTTCATTATTTAATCCTGGTAAAAACTGGACAATGTTAAAATTCAAAAGTAGCCTAAGCATTATTCTTAGTAAAGGAAAATTTCAATCTGTAATCCCTTCTCCAAAGTACACAGCAGAAGCAAGGCCACATCACTCCCTTTGATTACTCTAAGAGAAACGGCAGATTAAAAATTAGGACCCCCTACATTTAATAGATTCCAGCTGCTAATATGCAGGAGAATGGTAAAAGTTTTTTTTTTTAATTCACAGAAAAAGAAGTATGAAGAAAGTGCCTTGAGACGACCACAACAAACTCACATGCAACCAAAATTAAGCAATTGCTCCAAGTATCTAATCAATAGTGTTTTCTGTTGAACATTTCAAACACCCCTATAGTCCTGCACGATTTAAAAGTTGCATGACACTAGGAAAGACAGGAAGGTAAAGAGCAAAAGCTTAATTAAATATTTTAGGATTACTAACTACTAGAGGACAGAGATTCCTATGAAGTCATCAAACTCCCATTCCTTTGCCTCTAGGAAAAAACAGCTAGACTATTCCCAGCATCCATACAGGTGGTAAACCAAGGAACTCTCAGAAGCAGAAGTGATGTGCCTCTGTTCCTAGCTCTCCCCATGTGGCTACCAGACCTGCCATTTGAAAAGGACCTAGAGGTAGGGCAGAGCTGGAGGGATGCCAAGGGACCCTGCTGACCTGACTGCACACTAATATGAACAAGAAATATACTTTTATTAAGCCACTAAGACTTCACGGCTTATCTGATACAAAGATTAATGTTATTTACCTTAAGTAATACTAAAGAGGAAGATAATTTGAATTATTAGTATTAAAAAGTTCACAACTTTAACTGGTTCTCTTGTTAGGAAAATAGCTTAAAATTCAAGTCCCCTAAGATTAAATTCCTGAGATCTATTAAGACTCTCAAGATCCATTAAGATTCAAGTCTTAAAATCCTTTAAGATTCAAATCCTCTAAGACCACCTCATAGTAAAATGTTCATGTGATCACTTAAATCGCTTATTAGCACACCAAAAACAACCAACCTCCCTCCAAAACCCACAATGTTAAGTCAAATGTTGTAAGTAGTAAATATCAATTAGAGAATGAAGCTCTTCCAAACCCCAAAACCAGATGAATATTTCACAAGTCAGAGTTTCAGAGTTTCCTACATCTACCAAATCTACCCATGGAACCACAGTGTTAAGCTTTTTCATAAGAACTTTTAGGCCACCTCAGCAAAAATTTTATAAAAAAAAACAAAAACCTCATTACATTTCTTAGAATGAAAAATAACCATATAAAAAATACTGTTGAGACCACTTCTTTAAGTTCCAATAAAAACTGGATCATCTTAAATAACTCAACATGGCACTGTATTTCATATCAGCATATGATCTTCAATTTCAAAGATGCAGAAATTTGCTCTTCCTAGGATGCTCTCAAGTCTCAGAAAATCTAAGAAAACAATTGTCATATTGAGTCTGCTCACTAAAATTAAAGAAAAATGAGAATAAAATGTTAATAAAAACCTACTTTCCTAGATTATTCATCACAATCTCTGGGTGACATACCCAGACAGATTTGTAAATTTAAAAATCCCATACTTACAGTTTGCCTAGCCTGGATACTAGCTGTTCCATCACAAATTATTTTCTTCAGGATTGGTCCGAGAGTTTTTAAAACCTCTTCACTTTCAATTCCAGGGCCCAACTGAATACACAGAACAGACGCTAACGCTGCAGCCGCACGCTGCTCATCACTTTTACCTATAAAAGAAGCCACAGCGCAACTATGATAAATTATTTTCAGTAGACTTATTAAGGCAGCAATTTCCCAAATTTGCTCAATTTCAAAATAGCATCTACCATTTATGAAACCCATAATATGCTCCAGGGTTTGACATGAGCTATAAACCTTAGTGAGATTAAAAAGCTCAAACTCTGGAAACAAACCTCAGGCAAATCCTAGATCCACCACTTATTAGCCAAATTATCTTCAACCAATTATTCTTATTTCAAAATAGACTTCCTCATCTGTAAAATGAAGATTAACACCTATCTTAAGGGAGTCCTGTAACAATTCAGCAAAATAATACATTTCAAGCTGACCTGATCTCTCAAATCCTTCATGTACTTATAAAATAGTGCTAAAGTAGTCCTTGCATTCATCTCCCAAGCATTTCAGATGTACACAGTCCATCAGGTAAATTCAACTTTCAGGGTTTTCCTCCACCAATATTTTTTTTAAATAAATAAGGGATTAAAAACAAGGGCTTCTTTAAAACCATAGAAAATATATTAATATAAAAGTAAATGTAAATTAACTCTTCCAAGAACTATACACACCAATGGGTTTGAGCAAATTTTGAACTTAAGTTGTTACCTGATATATTAAAAATTTATAAAACTTGCAGGTTGGAATGAAATTGTTAAAGGTCACCTAAGTCCAACTACCTTATTAGAGACTGTTTCAATGTAAACATCTTTAACAAAGTCATTGTATTATCTCAAAAAAGGTGGCTCTGCTATCAACTAAACCAGTAACAAGTTATATAACTTTAGATCAGTCTCATGTTTCCTAGGCCCTTCTCTTTGTACAATGAGAGGTAAGTTAGAACAAAGGTTTCCAAACACCCATTCCTGACAAAGCTTTCACCTGAGTGAAAATTCACCAAAATGCGAATAAGGACAGAAAGCTAACCTCATTCAATTTAAAGGAACATATGAGCTTCCTACAGGTTTAGTGATAGAAATATTTTGTTGATAAAGGGATAATGATAGTAGAAGCTAGTTATTTTCATAATGTTCTTATTTGACAAAGTAATTAAGCTGGCAACGCCACATCTTTTTAATTTTGGTGGTTTCTAAAACTGCAAAGTCTGATAATACTAGACCTAATCTTTAAGGTCTCTCTTGATTCTTAAAAGTCCTATGGGTATAACAATATGAATTCCAGAATCTCTATTACAAAGTTCTAAAATTCAAATATTGCAATAGATATTGCAAAATCATGTCATGGACAGGTATGACTGAAGTCTTAAAATGAGCTAGATAATTATGATACTTTTTCAATTTTAGAAAAATGAAGTAGGATGGCTTTTTTAACAATACTTTTTGTTGACATCTGGCACAAGCTTTCAGGCCTTTCTTACACACAAGAGAATGGCAATCGCCACTTCTGATACAGTAAAAGATGACAATCCAACCCAGTCCTTCCTGGTTTCAAACTGTTTATTACACATATAAAAACAAAGCTTCTAACACGTCTGATTTGGAGTTTTAACAAGCCTGCTATATTCGCTGACAATTATAAAGTTACAAGAGTGACCCAATTTTCTACTGCTGTTAACAAATATTATTGCAAACAAGGCAGCAGATTCCTTTTTGGTACTGTGCCTGTGACTCAAAAATAAGGACATTACCTTTTTTCAGGCAGCGTTCAATGCTATCAGTTAAAGTCATTCTTCTTTCCAGAATAAATTCATAAAGCATTTTTGAAGCCAGTGCATTTTTAATACCTTCAAGAGCTGCTTGCCTTGTCTTCGCACTATTTAAAACAAAGTGTAAGAGAAAGAAGACCCATGTGGAGTGCACCATCAGTCAATGACTTTTAAAAACTCAGCTCTTCTCCCTCTCAATTTTTTCTATTTATAGATTTTTAACCTAATTGTCACCTAGTGCTAACCATTTTTCAATAACTTTCATCTACAACTCATTACACAAAAGATTCTAAGCTGCTTCATATCATAGAATTTTTATTAGTTTAATAACCACAACTCTAAATGACTACATAGTATTTTAAAATAGTTTCAATGTATAAGACATCACCTACGCTACATATTTAAGTAAACATTTATCTTTTCACATTACAAAAGTCTAGAGTTCTTGTTTGCATTTCAATTATTTTAAGTTGGTTCTGGTGCTACTGTTAAGTAAGAAAACAATTTAGCTTTGAAAGTTTAGTTGTCCTTTCTAGTTGAAGATTAACTTTTAATTCAACAAATCGATTTCAATGATCAAATATAGTTTTGTGCTATTCAGCAAGAATAATGACTACTCTGAGTCAATTAATCTAAATTCTAGTGGCATGTTCCTATCTACATTAAAAGTCCAAAGGGACAAGAAACATTAAAACATCCAAAGTAAACAAATTAAGCTTTAGAAACACAATGTTAAATGGAAGAACTGCACATATTTCAAATATAAGGTAACTGACAGAATCACCCAGAAGGAAGAGTTTCCAGGATTGCCTACCTCTTATCCAGGGTCAGGTCAATGAGTCCCTTCAACTTATACTCTAAGTCTTCTTGAGTTCCTTCCTCATCAAGGACTTCTGGTCCTAAGAATAATAAAAACCAACCACTGTAATTTAAATAGAAAAAAAGCAGATACAGAATAGTAATAGTATACTTAGCTCCAAGAACTCCTCCCTCTGAAAGATCCTTTTACCTAATATTGCAAATCTAAACTGAAAACTCATACCATCTTCAGCAAAACTGGAAGGATCGCTGTAACCACTGCAATGGCTCATTGTTTCAATCGATGCATCCTCATCACTAAAAGGTTGAACATTTCGATGCTGGCCACCTAGTAGGTAGAACAGAAGGAGGAGGTAAATGATTTTGTTACAAAATATGCAAATACTTAACTTGGGAATTTTAAACTGTACTTAAGAGAAATCCAGTAATAAAAACCAAACTTACTTAAGAGATGATTTTTTTTCACAAAAGAACAAACTCAAATATTCCTAACAGAGGTCAATTCACCTAATATCAGAGCACCAACTATTTACAATATACATCAACTTCAGAAATACATCAATTGTCTAACATGCAGCATTGTGGTGACACAAAAACTGGTATTACAGATGAAAAAAACTACTTTCTAGTGGGAAGGCTTTCAGCTTTTCACCGTTGAGTACTATGCTGGTTGTAGGTTTGTCACAAATAGCTTTTATTATGTTGAGATATGTTCCCTCTATGCCCACTTTGCTAAGTTTTTATCATAAATGGATGTTGAATTTTATCAAATGCTTTTAGTGCATCGATTGAAATGATCAGGTGACTTTTGTCCTTTCTTTTGTTGATGTGGTGTTCACATTGATTGATCTGCGTATGTTGAACCATCCTTGTGTCCCTGGGATGAATCCAACTCCTCATTTTGTTTAGCTTATGGTTTCCTTTGCTATGCAAAAGCTTGTAAGTTTAATTAGGTTATACAGTTAATTAGGTTAATTATACAAGTTTCTTTTGTATAGCACAGGGAACTATATTCAATATCATGTAGTAACCTATAATGAAAAAGAATATAAAGATGAATATATGTATGTATTTGTATGATTGAAATATTATGCTATACACCAGAAATTGACACACTGCAAACTGACTATATTTCAATTAAAATAAAGAAAACAAAAAAACTACTTTGTAAACCATGACTTCAAATCATGAAGACAATGAAAATAGATCCAGCATGATACCACAGATCATCAGAAGAATACAACAAACATACTTCCCAATGACAACGACTGGGGTTAGTAAACATTAGCTGATGAACAGGTTAGTTTTTAGGTTACAGATGTCTTATGTGAAGGGGAATTTAAGGAGTTAAGGGATGGTAGTTTCAAAGACAACTCGAATTAAGAGGAGAAAAAAGGCTTAAAATAGAAGTTTGGGGTGGGGATGTTGACAAGTGGATACAAGATGGTATAGAAAGTAATGACAGGAATTAGATGAAGCAATTGATCACTAAAGAACTACAGTGCTGAAAGAGATGTATAAGATATTATAAATAAAGAGCTCTGATGGGCTATTTGGGTGATATCCAGTGCAATGAACTACAGATTTTTTGTCCTGAGTCATGGAAGACAGGAGAACTGAAAAGTCATGTGAACAAGCATGTAAATCACTGAAGAAGCAGGGCAATGAAATGGTCCTCAAGCACCCTCCCTGCTCTTGGCTAGCACCCTACTACAGACTTCACAGGGTTATGTGGGTAGAGAGTCGAAACTGAGTGTCTTTACAGAATTGCCTCATTTTTGCAACTAAAAACTATGGTCAAGCTGATGAAGACTGTAGGCGTAGTACCTTTAAAATCAGGACTCTTTCTGCTTTGAATATTTTGAATTATTTAACTGAACAATGTTTACGATTTAACTTTTTTCATATGCTACTTTCAAGTGATTTTAAAAACCCACCTGACTGTAGTGACCAGTGACTAATTTGGATGACCTTCCTGCTACAATGGGTGTGCACATGGACATTTGTTCCTAGTCATGAGGTTTGACATTCCTGTCACTCCCTTGGGAAGATTGACAGTGCCCTTTTAAAGTTTGTGTGAGTATTTTCAGTCAATAAAAAGCTCCAAATCTTAAGAACAAAAAAAAAAAAAGTTTTGGTATTTGATAGAGCGTAAGAATTTGTTAGAGAAATTACCTTTAAAAGAAAGGTTCTAACACATTCAATAGTTTTAAAATATCAGTGTTGTTATCAAAAATTAAAATCTCCTTTTTTAAAACTAGAATATTTGAACTTCATTAACCTAAGGAATAAACCCATATTCATAGTCATTCCTAGTCACTTTTGTCTTTTTTCTTGTAGGAATTTCACACTAATAAAGTATTACATAATCATCAATTACACTGAGCAAAGTTATTTGGGGGGGTGTAATTAGGCACACTAAATTAAAATAAGTCCCGAATTCTGCCCCAAAAGTGACCCTGAGTCACCTCATTTACCTCTGAGCCTGTTTCCTTATCTGTAAAATCAGACTGCACAAGATATCACTATGAGGCCTTTATGTTCAAGAAATCTGTGACATTTACTGTATCTTAAGATAAATTTTTCAAAAATCTAAGTTTAATTAAGCCTGTTGCTGTTTCTTTTTTTAATGGGGGCTTCCTTTTTAAAAAAATCACAACATATCTTCTATGTTCTAGCAGAATTTTAAATCAATACAGGAAACAAATGCCCTTCATATTTACTTGCTAACCTAAAGAATAAAGTATGCCAATCAAAGTAGTAAAACATAGGAATAAACAAAGAAGCCAAGATCCCCTAACTTCATAATCATAGTGCTTAGGACAAGAATAAACAAATAAACAAAGATCTATGACATCACACTCTATTTCTGGATCTGTTTTCATGATTTGAAGTCATGGCAATAGTTGAGTCATCCACTTAACTTTCACTAACATTTATTCACTAATCAATTTACATTTTTTATTTTTCATATTCAGTCTATTTCTAAACTGTCAGGAGTTTTCTATGAAGGTCATACTCAACTCCCTTCTCTAAGGTTCAATGATTTCCCAAGACTCAAGGGAAAGTGATTAAAAAAAAAGAAATCAGGAAAAAGAATCATGTATGAGTGCCTTGGTATCTAGGTCACATTCACCCACCTTGTGATCCTAAGTACCATTAATGAGGTGGAACTCTAGACACATAAAGTTCTTATTTCATAGATGGCATACTTACCAACAGGGCTTTATTCTTGCCTAAAAATGCTCTCTTCAAATTAAGTGCTATGACAAATATGCATTCTTGAATAACAGGTCAATTTTATTAGCTTCCTAGATCCTTCCAATAACTTAAAAAGTAGAGAATTTAAATGGAAAAAAGTGAATTGGTTATCTTTTAGTTGTGAAGATCTCATTTGAATCCATTTCTTCTAGATGTCCTTTAAAAATACCAGAAAGGTAAGTGGCTTGTAAGTACAAGTCTGTGACAGTTTTCCATCTCTTCTACTCAACTGTTATTTATTCATTTATTTACTGAACAAGTAATATTCACAAGAAACCAAATTAAGCTTTTGAAAAGGTAAATCTCATCCGCAAATCCCAATGACCAGAGATAAGCACAGTTAACAGGTTCTAGTGCAAACTTCCAAAGGTATTCAAAGCATGTATAGTTTTATAAACGAATTAAAGAATTCTCTTCCTCTGATGAAAGGTCACAAATGAGCCTCCAGGTAAACTCTGAAAGGCAATCCCCCATCGTCTCCAGATATTATTAGTACCAGGAAGGAAGGAGGCTGGGCAGGAAGCTTCAGAAGGAAATAAAGGTTGTTTGTGATTCAAGGAGGCCATTAGTAACATCATTACCATTTTCAAAATGACCTTAGCTTGCTCCTTCTCCACCATTTGTTCCATCAAAAAAAGGTAAACTTAAAGAAGAATAAAATGAATATGGACCTTCTAGACAGAATTTAAATGTTTACTTCGGATGAGGAAAAGCTGAAGCTGACAGGTAAAGAGGTATTTTCAATTCACACAGACCAACGAGATGCACAACAAGCTGTATTTTATATCACGATCAAGAATCAAGTTTTTAAAAAAATAATGAATTTCATTAACACCGAGAGCATTCAATCAAAATAAAGAGCCATATAAAGGGGAAAATGCATTTATAATCATTCATTCCTACTGTCAATTATTAAACGTTTAATACATGATCACAAGTTTTCGCGCTGCTATAAATTCTATAGGAGAGCTTTTTAAATGACAGTTTCCAACCGTCTTTAACAAGAAAACTGGCCTATTTATTTTCCAAAGAACAAAGGAGTATCATTCTGAAGGTCAGAGTGTCAATTGTGTTGACAAGTACACATGGCGTTCCCATGTGATAACTCTTAAGGATATGCCAATATTTAATTTCAAAATCTCAACAAAGCAATTACTAAAAGAGGTGATTTTTGCCCAGTATACTTTAATACTAGATTTTAGTACGGTGTCTCGTAGGACTTTCCGCTTTAAGTCCTTTTTTCTTAATCGTATAGTTACGAGTTGAGAATCATTAATTCAGTTAGGCACCTACCCATCCAGGAAAAGCTTCAACTTTGCAAAGAGGAGACAAAAAGCCTAAACTTTTGGCCAATTACAATCTGAGCTCCTCACCACTCTCGCCTATCCCAGTCTCTCAGCAGAGAATACAGCACAAAGAACGCAGTTTCTGCCCCGGGGCGGGGAGGTCGCAGGAGAGGTGGGGGCTCGGGATTTGTGCGGGTGCCAGTTAGGGGTAGGAGCAGAGCCTAGACTGGGACAGTGGCCCCCAGCCTGCGACGCCTCCGCCAGCCAGGTGGACACGCGGGATAAGCAAAAAGGTAGAGAAATGGGATGCCACATGGGCGCCTGTGCGTCACCCCGGCACGGCGCAAGGCCCAGGCCGCGTGACGCAAGAGCCGGTCCAAACCCGCCGGACGTTTGGCATTCCGGACCACTCCATGTTGGAGCCGGGTGGTCACAGGCGACCGGTGACAGCATGGACACAACTCCGAGCTGAGCCCCACCCGCCGTCAGGGAGAGCTCTGGAGTGCAAGCGCCAGCCTCTGAGAACAGTTCCTCTCCTGCCCAGCTCCCCCTCACCCCCGACCCCGACCCACTCTCAGGTCCAAGGACCCATTCGCCCCTTCCCTGCCCCCACGGCCGGTGCCCAAGAGTTCGGTTCCCATGCCAGATCCAAATCGCGCGAGGTACAGTCCCCAGGGCACGCTGGGAAGTGTAGTTCGCAGGCCAGACTAGGTGCCCCGCAGATGCAAACGGCTAAAGGAAAAGAACTACAACTCCCACGGTGCCCAAGTCGAAGAGACTCGGTAGCCCGGCCGGCAACTGGGATGCAGGCGGCGGGGATACGCTCATACCTGCTGTCGCCGCCGTCGCTGCTGCTGCCCCTGAGCCGCCGCCACCACTGCCACCGCGGTGGGGAGTGTTCCGCTTTTTATTCTTCGGCATCGTGGGACGCCCGGTGCCGTCTAAACTCGGAGCTTAGCGAGGATCAGCCGATGGAGCTGCACTTTTTACTCGTACGTCTGTGCGGCGGGCGGCTAAGAGGCGAGTCTTCGGCTAACAACAGAGGCGAGAAGCGGCGTGGGTAAGAGTGGACGGTGGCGACAGCAGAAATCCCCGTGAAGAGCTGTGATCGGAAACGATACATGTTTCTCTCTAGCGCGGGAGCTAAGGCGGGGCGGGTGAGGCCACGACGCCTTAAGTAGCAAGACCGCCGCCTGTCGTCACCATATGTGGGCGGGACTCGAACTCTCGCTAGCCAATGCCGGTAGATCTCCCCACCGGGGTCCCATCGCGGGCGGCCGCTGGATGCTAACTACCGAGCCCATGCTGTCCGCCTTCCAGCGGCGCCTGGGGAGCCAGTCTCCGCCCCGCGCCGGATCCTGGGAAATGTAGTCGGCCTGGAGAGCTGGCTCCCAGCTCCTCCCGCCGGGCCTTGCTTCCCTGCTCGTGACCCCTCCCCGGCCTTGGAATTGAAGGAGGTAGTGAGCAATGCTGCGGGTATGCCCCATGACGACAGCCCGCTTCCAACTGGGAGCTACGCCATCAGCGTTGCTCATCCGTCGTCTCCAGAGACTCGCGTTCATCTCCTTAACCTTTCCCCTACTTGCCTGCGGCCTCAGCCCAGGCACAGCCATGCCCCTCCTTGGGAACATTTGCATGGTTTTAGTTGTTCAATTAGTTTAGCGATCATCAGTTACCTATAATTGAATTGTGGTTCAGGGCTAATTATGTACCCCACCTTGCAAAAGGTGTGCTTTGATCTACTTAGTCACATAGTTCGTATGTTATCTCCTGTTCTAGACTAGAACGATCTGGCGGTTCAGGTTTCTATACAAGAAATGTGTCCGTGGACAATTCTGCCTGTGGGGTTAGGAGGTCAATTTGGGATAAGGATTGGGTTTGGGGAACTTAACAGCTGGTAAAACAAACATGAGCTATAAATACCAGTAATCGCAATTTTCCAAGGTACTCCTAAGATCTTTTGTCTTCCTTGTTACATTTGTCACATATTTAGGACCTGTTATTAAGTACATATGTTATGCTTATAACAGACCAAACTCACTGACTCACCTCAGTGTAGGTGACTCAGGTGCCTCATCCCTTACTCCACCTCTCTCCTGAGCCCCTTCTCTTATTTTCAGCTGCCTGTGGGACATTTCCACCTGAATGTTCCACTTGCACCTCAATCCAGCATGTCTAATCCTATGTATCCCCTTCCTGTCTTCCCTTTGTGTGTTCACAGTACTACTGTCTTCCCATATGTCCAAATTCAAAAACTCCAATTCATACCTAGCTTCCCTAAAACAGTCAGTTTTACCATAAAACTCTTAAATTCATGTCCTCTTCTCCAATGACACACGACCTCAGTTGGTGCCTGGCCATTTTAAGTGCTCTTCCCAGTCACTTCACAGTGTTACATTCCTGATAATGTTGCCAGATTTATTTGTATGTCCCCTATTTTACTAATTCACATGGCTTAATAGTTGCTTACCAGCATATTAAATGCCAATCCTCTTCCCCTGGCCCAGACTCCCTTTCCAGCCCCATCTTTCACTACTCCAGGTACATGCCCTTTTCAGCCTCACTGCCCTGCTCTTCAGTACACAGCTCTGCTCTCCTGCCTCCATATTAGCATTCACATTGTCCAGCATTCTTATAATGTCCTTCCTCCCACGTTTGCCTTGGAAAATTTTTTTAACTGAAATATGGTCAGTTACAGTGTGTCAATTTCTGGTGAACAGTATAATGTCCCAGTCATGCATATACTCCTTAGAAAATTTTATCCATCTTTCAAGATCTAGCTCAAATTCAGCTTCCTTCATGAAGCCTCCAACTGGAATTATTTTTCCTCACAACTCTTAAAACTCTTTGTAATGCTCCACGGATGGCACTTCCCCCACAGGCCACACAGCCTATTCAAAGGACACTATCGCAGGTTTACCTTTTCTTTGTTTAATCCTGAAGCAGCAAGTAAACCAGAGAAGGATGCAGGTTGGTGGACACAGCTCCCACTGATGCCCTTGTCTTGTCTCTTCAGATGACCGTGCATCCGAAAACCGGTGGCTTCGGCCCACACTGAGTGAGCTGACCCCAGATTGGAGGATCACAGAACTATACCTTTTATAATCCCAGGCTCTTCATCATCAAGAAACAACTCACACTCCACATAGGGCAATAATGTGGCTACTCTGTGAGCCACATCACTCAGGCTTAACATCTAGGTTCCAGGCCTTGAAACTTGTGCTTTTTCCGTATTTGGGGTGCTCTCCTTTTATCTGCATCCATTCACGTCCACTTGGAGGCTTTTCCTGGCCAGGCCTGGCCATGACCTGCCACATCATATACATACTTGTTTTATATTTATTTGTAAACACATCTGTCATCGCATGAAGTTGTCAACTCCCCAAAAACAAGAACCCTGTTTGCATCATCTCTATCCCTCATGAAGGAATGTTATCTTGGTAATTATAGGTAGTCAGTATACGCTAAATGAATGCTTAAGAAATACTTGTTGACTAGACTTTTCTAGGTCAAGAGAAGGCAGCAACATTCCATACATGGAGTGTTGGTTTCAGTATAATGAACTCTAAGAGGTACTTTTGAGAAAATCATCTTTCTGTATTTTTACATCCACAGTCTAACTCCAGATCAATACAAGTACCAGAAAGATTTAGCCATAGACCTCATATGGCAGTGGTCTTTAACTCAACATATTGGTTTTGCAACATATTTGAAGAAATTAGAAGACCCCAAACAACATGAAGTGACTCACAAAATAACCACAAATACCAGGAGAAACAAGGGCAACAGGACAAAAGGCCTCTTCTCACCCACTCAGCTTCCAGACACACCTCAGGTGTCCTCTTTGCCAACTCAAAATGTAAAGTTCATTCTGCCCTTAGGACTTTTGTAACACTCCTCCCTCTACCTGATAGGATCATCCCCTGAGCTTCTCCCAGTTGCCATTCAAATCTCAGCTTAAATGACACCTCCACACCTGCCCCACGCTCCACTCACCCAGCCCACCACCACTACCCCACCTAGCTTATCCTCCTAAAGCACATCTCACTACCTAATATTTTTTCTAGTTCAGTTATCATTATCTCTCTGCCCTACTAGAAGGTTAGAATTATGAGAAAGAAGTTATTTACTGCTACATCTTCAAGTTGAGTATTAGAGCTTGGTAGATATTCATGTTTACTGAATGAATAAGTGGATGAATAACTGAATGTCTGCTCTGCCTGGAACATTCTTCTCCACAATCACCCCCTCATCCTTTAAATCACAGATTCTGAATACCCTATTCCCCCACCCCATCTGATTTCAATGTCTCTCTTGTGTTCCTATAGTACCTTTCCTATAATAGCATTAACTATATGTATTGTAACTCTTGATAACTTGTCCATTTCTCATCAGACACAAAGTGGGCAAAGTTCAAGTTCATTATCTCTGAATCAGATGCCAGGGCTTTACAAGCACAAGTAGCACCTTTATGCAAATTAGAGAGGCCAGGGCACCCAGCTTGCTGAGTGCTAATGGGCCAGAATTCACCCATCTCAGTCCCCACCCAGGAGCAACCTGTACACTTGTACATAGTGGCCCTGGTAGACACTAGCTGTTTAATTCAGTGAGGGTGTGAATTTCCTCTATATATTAGTTTCTTAAAGGCAAAGCAGTGAAGGTGGAGGAATGCATGAGACTTATTTACCAAAAGCCCACTCTGTCAATGGTACTATTCTAGGTTATTTTCTTTTGTTTCTTTTTTTTTAACCATTTTATTGAGGTATGATTGACATATAGAAAGCTGTACATACTTATTGTATACAACTTGATGAATTTGGAGATAAGTATATACCCATGAAACCATCAGCACAATCAGCGCCATAAATACATCCATCACCTCTGAAAGTTTCCTCTCACCTGTGTGTGTATGTTAGGAACACTATTCTAGGTTCTTTTCACATATCTCATGTACTTCTTACAACACCCCCATGAAGGAAAGATAAGCCTTTCCATTTTGCAGATGAGGAAATGGGCTCTGAGAGGTTTTGCAACTTCCCCAAAGTTGTACCATTGGTAAATAGTGGGTCTGTGATTAAAATGCAGGCCCATCTGATTACAAGGTTGTCCCTGGCTGGCCTTGGCCACACGGGAACACGACTGTGTGTTCCCAGGAGTCACGGGTTACGTATGCAGTCCTGCTGGAACAGGCCTGTCTGGGCAAAATCTTGCCTTGTTCCCCTTTGTTAGTGTCCCTTGACCCCTGGTGTTTTCGACTGCCTGATGGTTGTTTGGCAGATTTGGATTTTTCTGATATTTCTAAGGCTGTAGCAAAAATGTATTATCAAACAGCATTGTTATTCAAGCAAATCAAGGGTATAGCTCAGTGGCAGAGTGCATGCTTAGCATGCAAAAGGTCCTGGGTTCAATCCCCAGTACCTCCAGTAAACAAACAAACAAACAAACCTAATTACTTCTCCTGCCAAAGAAAAAAAAAAATACAGACTCAATCTCAGGAGATTTGATAGGCTTAGAAGTCAAGGAAAATTATTCAAGCAAGTCATTTTTTAAAAAACAATTATCAATTGTTATGTTTTAGGTTACATTCATTTCTTAATATGTTTGCAAGTTTTGTTTTATGGCCAGGGATGGTAATAACACAACATGCTAAATCTGAGGTCCCTGTTTGTTTCTTAAAGAAAAGGATACAGTGGTAAATTTAGTTAAAACTCTTAAGCCTTAAAATATATTTTGTTTGCCTTTTTTCCTTACATAGGAGATATTTCTTGGTGGTTTTCAGTTGAAATTGCATACACTTTCTTTAATGAAATTTCTAACAAATGAAAGACAATGAGTGTAAGTTCAATTGTCTTTTTCTAAAAAGAGAATGTTGCTTGTCTCACAAAGCTTTGATATTATCCATAATACAGTGTAAGTCTGTGTTAGAAGAGTACTGCAAGCCATAAGTACCATGGTGTGCATAACCAGACAATAATGTCCATGACATATCATGGTGGAACGGCTTTTCACAGCAGCAGCACACGTATGAATTATCTTTTCTTTGAACATAAAGATACCATGAACTTTTTCTTCTGGAGATCTCTGACACTTCATACCAAACATAATCAAAATCAGCTTGTTCTCAACCAATCCCTCTGTCCTTAATCCTACAACCAGTTCTCTTTCCCTGCTTTCTCTGTGTATTAGGTAGCATCAATCTTCTGGCCAAACAACCAGAGAGTCTTAGCGTTGAAAAAGACTTGAGAGTTAATAGACTTCAAACTCCTGTCTCATCTAGAAACACGTTGACAACATGACTGAGTCTGTTGTCTAATTTAGTCTTCCAGGGTTCAAATCCTGGCCATGCTTCTTGCAATAGATTCTTGAGCAAGTCATTTCACCTCTCTCTGTGCCTTAGTTTCAATGAGGATAATAACAGACCTATTTCATGGGACTGGCATGAGGAATATGTGAAATAATACATGTAGAGCACTTAACCCAGTGCCCAGCATATAGTAAATGCTCAATAAATGTTAGCCTTTAGTATTAGCAAGCATATATTTATCTATCTTTTCCTAAACTCTGCCAGAGTGAGCTATCACCCAACTTTTCAAGGCAGTTCATCCTAATATTGAATATTTATGTTTAGAAAAGTCTCATATTCTTTCACCAAATATTCATCAGGAATCTGCTATGTACCTAATACTGTGCTAGAACCTGAGAACAAAGAGATGACTGAAAACAGGGTATCTGGCCTCATGAAGTCCCTAGTCCAGCAAGAGAGCTCAGCATTAAGTGGCCTGTGGCTGTTCTGCCCTCTCAGCCCACTTGGATCCCCCAGGACATGACCAAGGAGATCCTTCATCCATTCCTAAGCAACTAATCCACCTCCCCAGGGAATTCAGTCCTCTCTTCTACAGTAAATCACCTTGCCCCTGTGAACCTCCACTTCCTTATCTGTAAATGGGAGTAAACAATTCCAGCCTACCATGTCACTGGACTGTTGTAAAATAAAATGATATCATAGTGTAGTCTTTGTAACCTGTCAGGTACTCGATGATGATGAGATACTCCTAGTGTTAAGCCAAAGAAAGAAATGACTCTTCTGATGATGGAATTTTAGACATCAGTCACCTAGGGAAGATCTTCTGGCTGGGAGTTGATAGAGACAGTGAGAGGAGGAACTGTACTAAGCCCCCTAATCAGACTTACCGCCAAGCACGAGACAACTGAATCAGTAAGGTAGCCAGCACTGCGCCTGAAAAATCTCACTGGTGATCACATACATTGTCAGAAGATCACCAAGTTTTAGATCCAAGTAGACCTAGAACCAAAATGCTTTATCTACCACTTATTAGTTAGGTGACCTTGCATAAGATGCTTCATCTCAGGCATAGTTTCCTTATTTGTACATCAGATTCTCTCTCCTAGGAATTCAGAAATAGAACTGAGAGACATTCAGAGTCTGGACTAGTCTTTTGAGCAGAGGAGATGTAATGTCAAGGAATAAAAAGTGGTACTCATCTGCCCACCACAGTCATGAAACAACAAGAAAGCCAATTTGCAGAGAGAAAAGAACGAAATGGGACTTCAGTGAGAAGCAGAGACAAGAGATGACACAGCCCAGCTCCTGATGGGCATCTACTCCAGGCAGCAAAACTTCCAAAGATTCAACCAAATTCCTGCCTTCAGGTTCCAGGATACCACCCTGAACTTTTAAAATATTAAAACTCTTTCTTTATCCTTAAGTTAGGCCTAGTCAGGTTCTAATACTTGCAAGCCAGAGTAACTGATAGTTTCTTCTTGGTGTGTCCCTGTTTTCTTGAGTCTAGTATCCTTGGAAACTCAGGAAACTGTCCAGATAGTTGCAAATGGGACTTGCAAAACCTGTCTTTTAGTCTCAGCAGTAGGAAGTAGGAACAGATTCTCCGACACTTTGGAGGCATGTTAGCATTTTTCTAAATTACGGAGAATGAGTGAACTGCCGGATTTCATTCATCATCAGTGGTACCTGCTGTGAACCAACACAAGCAAAAGAATTCTGAAAAGAGACTTTAAAAACTTTTAAGCCAAACTAAATTGACCATTTTGGGTTTACCATATTGAAATGTTTATATTAAATAGTTCCTAAGTTATCATTATTTTACTAAAGAGAAAACTGGCCATTGAACACATGGCTAAAAGACTAAAATTTTATTAATAAGATACATTTAATGAATATTTTTTCATTCCATTCAAGAAAGGCTTTCATATTAGTTTGTAACAAGCACTAGTGATTGCCTATCCAAAATCTATCTGACCCTCCTTCCTCATGAACAGAACCCTGGTT